CCTGTAGTGTTTGAGAGCGATGTGCTCATGTGTGTTTCTCTGTCTGCAGAATCAGGACCTGATGTGGCCCATTCTGCGTCCAGACCTGCCAAACTGCTATAATGTATTAATATTTCTTTGTTCCTCTCTTTCTTTAGAACTTGGTGGCTTGATCCAGATTATTATTAAATTGGTTAGATTTTAATAAGAGTGTGTTTATTCATGTAGTGTATCAAGCTTATTACTTCAATATATTTACTGCAAATCTGATATAAATATTTTACTCATGGATACGGACGTTAGGCTACTGTATGAATGAGCACGTCAGAGATAATGATAGTAATTATATAAATAAGCCTTTATGTGGCTGGTCTGGTTGTATACTTGGGAAAGATTGTGAAAATGGAAGGATTTAGCCAGAGTAGTGGTGATTACATATTGACAACATATTTCTGTGGTTTTTACGTGGTTTGAATTTGGTTGTGGTCCCAGGGGGGTTATATAATGATGATATACAGTAATCAAGAGGTGAATTTGTGCATTATACTTTGTCAAATAAAGCAAGCCAGGCAGCCTTCCGTGTTTGAGAACGGCGCTGTTTTTTAATCGCCCACTAGAGGGCTGCAGCGCCGCAATAACCAGCCTAGTTCAAATTAACGAAATGACTCAAAAAAAGATTTCTTCATTTTAATGAACAAGATTTGAATGAACGAGTCTGTCAAAAGACTCGAACTTGCCATCACTACTCTTTTCACCCTATGTGTTGGACGCTCTGCTCTTGAGCTACAGAGTGATGCATCTTACTTGTACAAAATCGTTGTTGGGAGTTGCACATGCGCAGTTCCCAGGTAAGGACTACTAGCCAATCAGAAGCAGAGAAGGGCGGGTCGTAAGAAACAAGGTAATGTAATCCAAATCAAAGCCGCTTCAGACTGAGACCTTAACCTAGCAGATGGTATAAGTTACTCACAAGTCCACAACATCATTGTTCCACATCTTACCATAAACCACTACAAAAATCACCATATTTCAACTCAATTTTCCATAAAAATTGGCCAAACAATTTGAACGTTTGCTCAGTAGCTTTCACATCAGGTGTAACATTAGCATTATAGCTATAACTTTAGCTGTGTTAGCCAACGTGCTACAACAGCTCCGCACTTGAACAGTCTGTGAAGTTACATTGCCGTGTTTATTTTAAATATAATTCACAACCAATAAAGCATACTTACAGGTTGTCATTGTGAATTTCCAGGCCCAAACAGAATTGGAGTTGCATCGTCTTTTAGGATTAAACGTTGAACTGTTGCCGGTGTTCTGACGATCTATGCTGCCTTGCCAAAAAATGCTACCATAGCGCAAATCGATAGACTCGACTCTACTCGGCCCTGCTCCGTTTTCCATTGCAGATAGTACCCAGAGATAGGACGTAGCTTGTCGTCATAGCGACGCCACACACAACTGCCGCAACGTAATGTTCAATGCGACACACACACCAGCGACCCACACAGCTTTCTCTTTTTTAAGTTAAAACGTTTCAACATTACTCAGAATGTAAACACAGATAAGCGGTATGAAAACCTTCCAGCTGTGTTTTCCTCTGCCGTTGTTGCTGCGGCGGTCTGTGTGACGGCGGGAGCAGAGGGCTCTGTGAGCGGGCGGCCGGCCGGCCTCACACGCTCCTCCTGCAGGTTGGTACAGGCTTCCCCCGCAGCCACTTGCGGAGCTCCTCAACTCCGAAAATATTCAAGCACATTTTTGTTCCGCCATCACTTCTCGTAAAACTGTCAATATTCGAAATCTACACAGCTGATTTCTCACCTCAAAACTTCTCAGAAGTGGATTTAGTGATGAAATTCCATATGAAAACTGTAAAATATAAAACTTTCTGTTACTGGCCTCTGTCTGGTGCACGCGATGATGATGCAGTGACTAGAATTTTCTCTGACCAATCAGCAGTCTGTCGTGTTTTCACGTTACATTTTAGTATCCCTCAGATCGCTTGGAACCTCGACGGAGCTGAGGTGATACGAAAAAAAGTACCTGGAAGCAGGTACAGGTACATTTCTACAATGGAAAACCAAACAAAGGCGAGTCGAGCCAAAGGGCCTCCGCTCAGACTAGCTTGGTTTGAGGGCGTGCCTGACCCCTGCCAGCCGCTTGGCAAGCTTTATGACGTGTTTTCATTGTAACATCGCACGTAAAGGAAGTGAAGGGCTGGACTACAAAGAGCTGTTTTCAAGCGGTTCAGAGCAGAGCTTTCTGTGGGAGATGGGAACTCCCTTTGGGCTGGACTTTGGGCTTTTTCACTTTGCAAACCTGTTACATGCACAAAAAAGATATATAACTCAATAAAGGAGAGGGAAAAAGCCAAAAAGCATAATACCACCTCTTTAAAACCTGCCTGTTTAGTCCACTGCGACTGGACAAGACTGTGTATTTTTTCTCCGTCAGCTACTTGTGGTGCAGCTCCGTGCTGACGCTCTCTTTCTTGGTGGAAAAGTGTTTATTTCTCTGAGGAATACACCGTGAACGTCTTGTTATCGCAGTGGTTACATATTTACAAGAGGGATATTCTGCTGTCGGACTCAACCTGAAAGCAACTTTGCTGCGACACCAGCGAGTGACGTGGACCCACCTCGCGCTATGAGTCGCAGACAGTTTATGCCAAAGTGGACATATAGGTACTGTAGTTTCAGTAGTCTATAAAAATGTAACGTTAAAAACTGAAGCCCTGTCTTGCTCTGTTGGGGACTTGGGCACTTTATCAGAGGTGCTGATGTTAACGTGTGTGGAATTATTCGTGAGCTTTCTGTCTGATTACAGGTGTTGTCTGTTAGTTTCGTTTTCCCCCGGCATGAGCACCTCACCGTCTCGTTCAGTTTTGTCTGTTAGACGGCAAGGGGATACTTCCAGCGAATCAGTAATGTAATGCAGTATAGGGCATGTAGTAAAATATTATGAATTCTGAATGACGTTAGTCTCCTATTATGACTTTTTTTCTTTATATGTCAGAGAACTCAGATAGGATATGTGGGAGAGATTCTGAATGTGCAGAAAGTCTTGAACATGAGCAGATAAGTTACAGTGTTTCCCATACGTTCATTTATTTGTGGCGGTCCGCCACAATATGAACGCTAACCGCCACATATTGATTTTCGAAAATCGCTCATCCTCTCGCTCGTCTCTCTCATCCGTCTCTCGATCTCTCGCTCTCTCTCCCTCGTTAACACAGCTGCACAAATCTGTCCAACACAACGCTGTCAATGTCGGTGACCCAGCTATTAAAAGTTATTAGCGAGCATGTAAGGAGCCTAGCTACTAAGGAGAGCTAAGTTAATGTTAGAATACAGCTGGGTTTTCGAGGCTAGCACGCTGTATCTGCGCCACAGTTACACTGTCATTCTGTGGGAAACACTGAGTTTATGATAAGTTATTAACAGATGAGCTAATAAAGTCCAGTCAATAACTGAATAAAACGTATTAATTTATTACTGAGATGAAAAGGGGCCACAAACAAATTTAATAATATAATCATTTTTTATTCACTTAAAACAGTTATAATTGAAGTTTGTATATCCAGTTTCTAACAAATAACATGTGAAAAGGGATTTATTGCTGAACCCACTTGACTCTGCTGTTTTCTACAGCATTTCACTGTCTTTCAGCTTTTATATAACTCACGTAACAGACAAATGTTTTCAGCAAAAAAGCTAATAAACCCACTGTACGCTTCCTGCCCAGCACCAAACGGCAGACAAACAAAGTTAGCGCCTAGGTAAAGACCCAGCTATTTCCCTCAGAGGTTAGCAAAGACCAAAACCAGAGCAAAAAGAGAGTGAAATAGGACTTATATTCATTAGGTGCCAATGAATGCTAATGTTTCTGGATGTGTACATAGGCAACTGTTTCCTAACAAGTTAGCCATATCAACTTAAAAGGTGAAAAGACAATATTCTGTTGACAGCTTGTTTTACCCTAGAGGCCAAAAAATAATTAATTCAGGTTTAATCATTTATTTCATTTTTCAATACTGTAATTCTACTAGTGGTACTGCTGTCATGTCTGCAAGTTATGGGAGAGGAGTCTCTGCTCTGTTGCTGAGGTTTTTCCCCTTTTATTCTTAGTATTTCCTTATCTGATTTAAGGGGCTTAAGATTGAAGATGTCAAATGATGAGACAAATGAAAATGTGATTATAGGCTAAATAGATAAAACTGACTTGACCTGATATAAGTCTAGACAAAGAAAATGTTGCTGGGATTAACTGTTTTGCACCATTTGTGTTCAAAACAACATAAAGGTTTTTATTTGTCCACTATTCAAACACAACACGTGTGTTTCCCTTTCTTTATATTTCCTTTTCTTTTTTGGAGAGCGCATTCACACAGTACGGTTACTTTCAACTGTTCCTACACTATTTTAGAGAAGGCCAAGTTCATCGTACATGTTTTCATAAACAGGATAAACAGAACGATCAAGAGATTAGGAGGTGGAAAAGGGTTGGTGAGTGCAAGAGGGAAACAGGGTAGCAATGACGTAAAAGAATGAGGAGGGTGGATGGGGGTGTGGGAGAAAAAAGTTGAGCAAGGCAGAGGAAGAAAGATTGAGAGAGTTATTCCTAATGACTGCCGTTTCTGTTGTCGTCTAGCCCTGTGTCACAGTGGGGGGTCCATTCAGAGGGTTCCCCTCAAACTCATTCTCAACCACATCTTTATCATCAACAGTCGAACATCCTCTCAGTTGAACTCTGAGGCGCCCTCTTACATTTCTATACTCCCTCACATTCCTGCTCTTCTGACCTCACTCATCTTTCTCTTAATTAATTATTCATTTACAATTATCTTTCAGGAGGATAAGGGCCTGTGTGAGTGAGGCTGAAAGCGGTACTCACAAGGAGTGGATGGAGCTTGTGAAGAACCACTAGGGAGCACTGGAACTTAAAAAAATTCAGTGGAGAAAAGATTGGCAGCGATTTTTTCAATTGGACTTTGTCTTGGGTTTTCGAGCCAGTGTTTTGTCACTGCTGATATTCTGCGAGCTTGTGATGAGACGATCTTTTGTGTCTCTCAGGGATATGTTCATGCAGGTGCGTGTTTGGCAGAAAGAGTGGGTCCCTCTGTAAATGTAGCATACAAGGCATTCCTCACATTGACAGAGCGGGACACCAGTCCGTGAATGTCAGCGAAACCTGAGAAGTGCTCATATGTCAAACATGCAAAAAGTGAGAACATAACAAGAGGCTTTGTGTTAGACAGGTATGTGAAATAATTTCTCAGACCTGCTTTTTGTAGCCACGTTGGGGGACAGCAGAGAAAGGCTGTACCAATGTATCATTATGTTTTAAGTTTACATGGTAAACTTGTTGGCAAACAATTGCTTATATGCATCTGCTAGCTTAAGAGCAACATTAACATTTGTTCGGAGTTGTATTTCTGGCCACATTGGGAATGGAAGTCCAATATTCACTCTCCTTTAAGAGCTGCATCGTTTGCTCTATTGCTCTATTTGCTCTACTCTTAAGATGCTAAATACAGCACTTTGTTCACCAGCTGGTTGCTAAATGTGTCTGCCTGCTTTTTGGTGCTCTGCAGGTAGCGTTGACTGTTTAGAGCCTTTTCACTGAAAACAGCTGCTGGCTGTGGCTGGGAACGGGGCTGCTAAAAGCATTGAGAGCTGAGGTGTGCTGCAGAGTTGGGTGATAACTGTCTGTGGGTTTGTTTCTATTAGGTGCAACAACCTTTCACGTACACGTAACAATTTGATCCATTTTTATTAAACAAGACTAAGTCTTGCGTTTTTTAAGGTGTCTTTCTCTCGCTGCTTTGCAGGACTGTGTCATTCTCTTCTTCTCTTTGACTTCACTGAGAACTTCATGCTTAGCTGTTGACCATGACCAGCTGTGGCTCAAACAGTTCATTGACTTTGTCTATTATTTCTGCATGCAGCAGTAACTCAAACTCTCACTTCCCGGAGCCTTACAGGTATCTGTTCACCCCACCCTCTCAAGTCATTGAGATCATGCAGAAGATGGGTGAAGTGCGGAAGAAAACTCTTGCTCCCGGGGACAGTGAGTGTCCAGTATGGATTAGTGGATGACAGAATCTGTCTACTAGCTGCATGAGAAGGTGTCAGTCTCACTGTGTTCCCTGGGGCTGTAGCTCTAATCTAGTAATCCTATCCTGACAATCCCGATGTATGCTTCACAACATGCTGCCTTTCCTTGCTGCTGACATAGAGTTCACTGCTAAGGAGGCTAACTTTCACCCCTATTGTCCTGTCACACTAAGTGAAAAATCGACCATCAGCACTGCTGGAATGTGCTGGTGTTTTGGAGAAGCCTGCAGCATTAGCTTCACCAGCTACATTACTTGTAGGTGTTGCCTTGCTAGCCTACGGCTGTGCATAGAGGCCTCTGTGTTGACACACCGTCACTTGGATCAAGTTCACGGTTTAATATGAGTTTGAAGTTACATCAATGGTAAACAGCCAGAGGTAACATAGACAAAGTGACATTCCAGAAATGTACTACTTTACAAGAGCATGAGCACTGAAGTAAAACCAAACACTGCATGCTTTATTGGATATAAACATGACTCCACAGCACTCAAACAAGATGACAGAATAAATAATGTAGATAAACATGTTTGCAGAATGAAGCCTGACTTATTTTAATGGAAAAAAGATCTAAATGGCGATTACAGTGTAAATATCATGTTGTTTGAAAATGACCCTGCGGCACACAAAAAAGAAATCAAAATCACCAGAGCAACATGGAAAATTACCTCAAGCCATTTTTCTCTCTTCCAGGTGGTTCTGATTCATGGTGTCCCCCACCAATTGCATACACACACTGCAATCTTGGCACTGCAGGGGGATTACGGCCAGGATGTGGCAACCCAGGCATCATCTGGAGTTGAGCCCTGTGCGCCTGGAGCTCCGAGTGAGGTGCACTAGCACTAGCACTCCCATTAATCTAGTCTTTCTTCACAGTCTCATCTGTAACCATTAGCTTCAGTTACATCTATTACTCACAGGCAAACACATATGAGGCCATTTGTAGTCTTTCATTGTTTATACCGATGTGTGACAGTGGGAGAAATTTCCAAGGGAGATGCATGAAACAAAAGCCAGAACGAAGAGTGAATCAGATATAGAAGGGAAAGAGGAGTCAACATCGGAGCAAGGGATCAAACAGGAGTGACGGACAGGAAGTACTGTGTTCCCCATGTGTCTTTCCCTCTTCACTCTGCAGGCTGTGGTGGAGATACTAGAGATCTGCTTCTCATTATACTATAGAAAAGGATTTAAAGAGGAGCATAATGGCTGACTGCAGTCTTAACCCTGTCACTCTGATGCCCCAAACCACCAAAAGCCTTCATCAAACCTCACAGCCACACTCAAACATCAGCTTGTAAATACAAAACAGCTTTGCTGCCTCACGTCAGCCTCCCATTACCAGGCACTCCATACATCAGAGACTGAATGGAGGCCAATAGCCCGATCCACCCATTCATCAAAACCATTATGGCAGGCCTTCCGTGTAAGAGTTTCAAAGTTGCACAGAGCAGGCTCGCCTGGGCCCCATCACTGCCAGTCGAGCTGAGTGAAGTGCATGTCAGGAGCCTGATTTGTGAAAGTGCTTGCTTATATATGTGGTAACATATAGTCAGTCCCCCTCAGGAATACGCCTCCAGTGAACATCCAAATCCCTAATGAGCTAAAGCTGTGTGCAAAACTGCCATTGTGGTAAGAGTTTCCTGTGTATTTTCACACTGGTGAGAGGAGAAGACTAACACAAAAGAAGGATGGAGGTGAGGATGAAAAGAGCAAGCCATGAAAGACGCATCCTGCAGAAGTTCAAGAAAAGAGGAAGGAGGGAGTGATTGTTATTATTTTTTCACTTGTGTTTTCCTCTCCTTTTTTGGACCGTGTAAAGAGCTCCTTGACTCTATTTGTGGTCTTGTTCCTCCACAGCTGTTGTAGTCCATCCTTTATATAATGTTTCTTACACCAGCTGTTCAGGCTGCGATCACAGGCTTTACAGCCCTGAGAGATTTATCTTTGATGCACACACAAACACACATTTTCAGATACTCCTGATTTAAGTGAAAATAAAACCATAAAGTACTTTATCTCTTGTCATGCCAAAGGCAAATCAACTTGGAAGTATATAAACTCTTTTAACAAAGTTATATGTTTGAGAAAGGGAAATGTGTTTTGATGGACTACCAATCTCATAGCGATTTCTCTTTAATAAGGACTGTGGGAACTTACCTCTGTGATGTAAGAAAACTTGATTTAAGAGGCAGTTGCTGTAGTTTGGGGATGATTGTGCTCAGATGTGAATTCCTCACTTTCTCAATCATGGGGAACAAACAATGGACACTCTGTGATATGAAGGTAAGGGGGGGGCAGTTAAAGCATAAAGGTAAATGACACTGCAGTTCTTCATTACAAACCTTTCCTGCTGCCAATCTTAATATAACTGCCCTGAACTGTGCCTCACTTTCTTCCTATATATGCACACATGGACTGACTCTCACACACCCTCTCTCACACGCAGGCAAAGTTCAACAAGCTGTGGTTTTCCTTGAGGTATAATTGATTGGATTTTAATGTAGCTCCTGAAAGAATGAAAGGTTCGTTGATATAAATAATTTGCCTCATTTCCCAGCTGACCTCTTTTTCTCCTGCACTTTACCATCACACACTCTCTCTCTCTCTCTCTCTCTCTCCATTGTGTTTAATGCCTGTTGTTAACCCTATGACATCTAGTGTAAACACAAGGACTAATGTAGTCATGTCTTTATGTATGTATTGTATTTCTTACATTCTGAACTTGAATTACAATCCTTTAAAGGAACAGTTTGACAATTTAGGAAAAATGTGAGGAATTAGATGAGAAGATCAATACTACTCTGATGTCTGTGTGGTAAATATTTAGCTACCACTAGCAGCTGTTAGCTTAGCTTAGCACAAAGACTGGAAACAGACAGCAGGAAAGAGCTAGCTTGGTGCTGTCCAGCGGTAACAAAACCTGTTGCACCCTGCTGTGTCACATTAAGAATACAGAACATCAACATTACTGTGGCAGTAATCACCCCCTGTCTGAAATCACTGAGCCTATTTTCTAAAATGTGAAACTATGCCTTTAACGCAATCCTAACTTGGGAAAATCTCCACGAGCACAGTGAAAGGTTTAATAGTCCGCTCAACCTTCAGGCTTCATCAACATTATATTGCTATTTTTTTTCTGAATGAATGTGTGTATCTCAGCTTTCAATACATAAGGACTGCTTTTCCGGAGACTCTGTTCCATTCCTGGTATGAGATGGTGCCCACTTCCTTCCATTGAACCAGCCAAATGACCTTCTCTGCAGCTATGCTGGGAGAAATGGAATAGACAATGGGAGAGCAGGATGGACACCAGATCAGAGACTGTGGTATAACCCTTACAAACAAACACTCAATGCCCCAAAACCCGGCAATTCTAACTCCAACACTATGGTTTTCTGTCCGGGAAAATGATGCATATAAGCAAACAGTAGGATTTGACTACCTTGATTACTGTGTTGATCTGATGTAAGCCTATTTTAATTATGAGGAAGCTAATTACTGTTCATGATTCACACATTTTAAATACTTCACAAGACATTTTAACCACACTGTCAACTCCAATCGTATGGTAAGAGATTTTACCTGAGAAGTCTTTGCAAATTATTAAACTGAAATGAATGCCTTATTTTGGTTTCTGAATTTCTTCAGTTTTTTTGACAGCAAAAGGAGGAAATGATCTTAACATGTACAAACAAAACAAATACAGCGACCTGGTGAAACCTCAGCGTGAAATATGCACATCAGAGTGCAAGGCAGTTTCCTTAAGTGTGCCCCTCACCCCACCCCCCATCTCATTTCCTCCATACCCAAACAAAAGCTGCTTCTCTGGGAAAAGAGCTTGGCCACTTATGTTTCCGTGTAGAGCCCAGACCTGCTTGCATGCAAACTCTTTGGCCATCAGCATGTCTGTACAGGGTACAGAGCACTTCAGCATCAACAAACTGCATACAAGCAACATGCACAGAACTCACCTAAACATTTAAGTCAAAACTCAGCAAGACATGACACTTTACTGCACTAACCAAAAATATAAGCAGTGTTCATCACTACCCTCCAGCTTTGATCTGGCTGTTGGGTAGGAGTGGTTTCCCCAGGTGGGTTCCTACTGTCAGAACAAACTCCTTTTCAGCATATTTCAAATGAGCTTCAGCTGGGAACTTCTCCCCATCAAAAGCAATCTGAGAATAAGAGGAGCGGGGCGTTTCTCCCAAGAGTTCCACCATCTGACAGGTCACATCCAGGATACCATTCTAGAGATGGGATACATGTGCTTTGAGTGCACTGTAAAAGGCAACATGAGGCCATTTCAGTCTAAAGAAGTTTATAGTAATTGATGCAGGAGAAAATTCTTTGATCAAGTCACATGGGGTTGAGAGAGCAGGTACCCTGACAGAATGTTCTTAAAATTCTTAAGACTGGGTGACGGTGAGCAATACTGAACTAAGTGTTATAGCCATTAATAATGAATCTTGCCTAGAAGATCCCAGCAAAGCTTGAAGATAAGCATGTGGCCCAGTACATTGTCCAGAAACAGCAGTTAAAGACTTCTAGTTCAGACACACTGGTGGGTTACTTCTGAACAAGCTAGAAGTATTGTGCAAACACTGGCCACTATTGAGTCTGTCACCCTGAGGACTCTTTTGGCTGTACTCGTCATAGTGCAATAAACTTGCCAAGACAGTAGATGTTCTTAGACAGCTTTTATTCATCATAGTTGAATGACAAGAGATCTTGCAGTCTTTAGACTCCAGCTTTCATCTGGTTGTTGGGTGGTAGTGGCTTGCCCAGGTGGATCCCCACAGTCAGTCCAAACTCCTCAGTGGCATGTTTCTCACAGACGTCAGGCTTAAGCTGGAAGCCCTTCTCCCTGTCGAAGCAGTCCAAAGGAGTGAAGGAAAGTGGTTTTTCCTCCAGGAGGCCTTGCAGTCTTTTACGCCAGCCCTCCAGCATGGTGCCTCGCACCTCAGAGGGAACGTGAGACGGAGCCCAGAAGATCTGAGGGGCCAGAACTTGGAAGCCACAGTAGTGCAGGATGCCATTCTGGAAGACGGTGGTGATATGGTCAAATGTTTACCACAGTTGATAACCCATTAAATGCTTTGCCAAGTCAGTTTATGCTGGGCCAGTACCTGCAGCGGCCACAGTGTGACATTCATGTCTCCATTAATGCCATTTGCACTGAACATGGACTCGTGAGACCCAGTGGTGAAGGACAGCATGGCTTTCTTGTCCTGTGCAGAAAAAACAATTCAAACAAGCCAGAGACACACCCACACCCCCTCGTAATGCAAGCCTCTTGATTTGGTCCCTTACCTTGAAGATGCCCTGGCTATACCTCTTCTCTTGGGAGTAAGCGAAGCCCAGTGTGAGCACCCGGTCAATCCAGCCCTTCATGATTGCAGGAAAACTGAACCAGTACATGGGGAACTGAGAAGAGTTTGAGTTAGTTTCAAGCACAGGGCTTGGGCTTAAACATATTAGTCAGTCAGCCTGTACCTGAAAGATGATGAGGTCTGCTTCAGTGAGTTTGCGTTGTTCTTCGGTGATGTCAGCAGACAGTTTTCCAGCCTCCCATGCTAGTTTGGTCTCCTCTGCGTAACAGAAGTGATCTGCATTCTTAACTTCTCCTGCAGAGACAAAGTAAATGTTGCCTGAAATTATGGAGAGCAACTAAAGCAAAAAAACTGCCAGGTTTAATGCCAGTGAGATATTGATATACCAGTGATGTCCTCAGCAGTAGCAGAGGCTTTAAACTTCATGGCATATAGGTCAGATATTTCAGTTGTGTAGCCCTTCGTTCCAAAGACTTCCACAGCAGCATCTTTAGCTGCAGCACTGAATGAGCCAGAGCTCTGGTGGCCATACACAAGCAACACTTTCTTTCCTGCTAAACCAAGAATTAAATATTAGAACAAGTAGAACTCATAATTTCCAACCATAACACACTGGCAAGAACACAGAGCAGAAAACCTCACCCATTCTGGAGAATATGAACAACTAGCTGGTCTGTTAATGGAAAGAACTGCTCATTCCGGAGCAAAGCAGAAGATGCTATTTTTATACTGCAAGCCTTCTGGAGCATTTGCACTCTCTCAGGTGCTGTCAATCAGCAATCAAGGTCATAAATCAATCAGCTGAGTTTGGGTGATTCTCTCTCACAAGTCTCATCAACATATCCACATATCTTTTTCTGAACCTAGTCAACATTTTTTAATGGGGAGGGGAATTTTTGTAAATGCCAAAAATATGCCAGTTAAACCAGCTGCAGATAAAGCCTGTTTTAAACAGGATAAGCTTACAATAGTACTCTCGAGCCTATGTCGTCTACTTGAAGGCAATGTGTGCTTTTCTCATTTTAGCCTACCCAGAAAGAGGCAGAGTATATGTTTGTCTGTGTTTTCGTGTCTTATCCACAGTAATCGTGTGGATATTTGAGAGCTTGCGTGTCTGTGTACAAGATGTTTTAAAAATTGTGTGCCACTCTTGATGTCTTCAAACCACATGAAGCAGATGTGGCTGAGTGATCTTCTCACTCTACTGTTACTGGTTTCCAGCTCTGTTTTCCTTTACATTACTTTGCTCTAAAGAAACATTTGCCTGCGGTCAAGCACATTCACAAATGTTGCCCTTTAAAAAAAAATAAAAAAATAGACTCGGCAATGAACATCAAAGGCAGACATGAGCTGGCACACATCTGGGACCAAAATCAGTCCTAAATCCCATCTATCAAGACACCATGAGGAGGAGGGATTAGGGAATAACTACGCTACAAATGCTCACATGCATGCAAGCACATCACACAGGGCCTCGCAGAGACCTTTGGAAGGGCAGGTTGCCAAAGTATAAAAAGGGCACATGGAACAAGGATTTAAATAGGGCTGTTCTCAAAATATTGATATAGAAATATATCGTTATGTATTCCTTGCTGATACGCATATACAGATGCTTCTGTATCGATACGGGAATACTGGAAATACCCAGCTCTAGCTTTAAAACACTGTGGACTGACATAACAGAACAGTTGCTGTTGAGGGGTTGCTGGGGTTGCTGGGGATGCTGCTGCTGCTGCTGCTGCTGCTGTTGTTTTGTTGCTGATACTACTGGAGGTGATCTGTGACTAGAGATATTTCATACATTTTCCTGAAATCTAATAGGGCCATTTCTTCTTCACTCTTTACTTTGATGTCAGGAATATTATTTATTTTACATTGGAACTGACATTTCTATATTTATTTCCAGTCATTGAGTTTTTATTGTAGCTGAGCTGTTGTAAACACTACTGTTGCTGTCAAAATGTAAATATATTCCACTGTTCTGAATTTAATGGTAATTTTTGAAAAAGGGCTGATAAGTAGGCTATAAGTCGGAGGAATAGGCTTAGTATCAGTATAAGCCTGTTTTACCAATGTTGTTATACTTATTTTAAGGCACAAGGCTTTTATTAAGTTAATGTAATGATCCTAGTTCAAGTGAAACGTTTTTAGTCAAATTACTTTAACCCTCCACCTATTTCCAGGAAAAACACCTAAAATAACATACCCAAAATAAATCAGTAATAACTGCTCAACCATTAGGCCTAGATGCATAATTCTGGTGTGGTGTCCGAACAAAATGCACATATATTGTACACTACACTGGTCTCCTTTGATAGGTCAGCTAAGCTAAAGAATATGAATCAACTGTAAATGAACCTATTTATTTTTCTATTAAAGAGTAAATGGAGTTGCCTGGTTTAAAATCTATATTTTAATATCACCATTAAAACCATCATCCAGCTCATTATAATGCAACAGAATATCTTCTACACTCAAAAAAATGATTCAAGGCCTTCTTAGAGGTGACACATTTAAATATAATTTGCTTTATTTAAATATATCTATTTAAGATCATATGTATATATATTTAAGTGGTTTAACTAAAAATGTATTAATAGCTCCACCTATGAGATTGATTTACGTTGGATCACCAAAAAAAAGTGTCATACGGGACCGCCCTTTGCGCATGTGCGGGACAGCGCGCTCTTTTCTCCCATCTCTCCATCCTCTGGGTGCAACGCCAAAGCAACGTTTGGTGGACAAGACTACATTAAAGGCGAATATCTACTTCTTGGTAACTATTCATTAGTTGTAGTTGATTAGAAAGTATTTTGCTGTCAAATATCGTTAATACAGTAATATTGACCGAAATGTGTGCAACAGTTATTTCACTCTTCAAAGTTGAAGGGAGTTGGCTGGCTAACGTTAACTTATGGTGGTTAGCTATGTTAGTGCTACTTTTGTACTTTTAACGTTAGTCACTTTGACTGCTTTGGTTAATGTGTTGCTCTTCGTTGCCGCAATTTTGGACCGGGCAAAACTGGCCTGTAGACAAATAAAAGTAAAAGAAGAGATGCCGAATTTCTGTTGTGTGTGTGTCTAAAATGGCGGCGAATACCGTTAGCAGCCAAGGAGTGAAGCTGTCAATACCACAACGTTAACGTTAGTTTAACGTTAAATATCTATGGCTCGTTCGATATTTATGCATTTAGGCTGTAGGTGGACTAGTTATGGCGGCCTGCCGAGACCGGGCTACACAAATGTTAGCCGCGTTTTTTCTGCCATGTGTCATTAATGGCGGCCAGTGTTTTCGTCAACGACATTTTTTCACAGACGAAACCGAGACGATAACTAACGTTAAATAAAACCAATTTTTGAATGAAAAAAATTATGACGAAAATCTATTGACATTTTCGTCAACTAACGTTAATAAAAACTAGACCAAAATGTTAAATAGTGACTATTTGGGAAGCGATTCAGTCAGAACTGATGTCCTGCGTTTGTGCTAGATGGCACATGTGTACTGTAACGTGCTGATCTACCCAGCGGTCTCATAAAACTAAAAAGTGTAAACGTCTGGGAGAATGAGTAGAGCAGACATATAGATCTGAATAAGAGTGACGATGCAAAAAAGAGCTCTATTCAGTACGATTTTCTGGACGCACACACAGCGTGCAGCCATGCACATAGACACACAGCGCGCGAGTACTAAACTGAGCTCTCTTTTGGCCTGAATGGACAAATACACACAACATTATGTCTAAATGTCCGGTTTGGAGAGTATTCATGTAAACTATGTTGGTTATGTCTTAAACGGTTGTGAGTGTATCGGATGTGCATCAGTGCAATTGGATTCGCATGTCATTGGACATGATCCAATGTCTTAAAGTGACAGTGGGTAATAAACCTAATGCGGTCGGTGTCCTTAATTTTGATCAAGCAACAAAAGAAAAAGAGAAAAGCATTCACTGTTTGTTAATAGCTTTAATAAGGATTAATTCTATTTAATTCCTACAAATAAATATGTCTGCTTGAAAGAATCTATGCATGTAGTTATAAAGAATGCATATATCATTAATTGAAAAGAAGACTGTTTTACTTTAGGAAAAGTGGTTTTATTTAATTTTAAGATTTTTTAAAGTCACAGTAGTTAAATATGTATCTGTATTGCATGTAATTACTTTTATTTGGTTACATCACCTCCATTGCTCACACCTCTAATATATGCATCTCATCTTTTGTAGTTTAAGTTGAAAAGCAGTTTGTGGCAACCTCCTATTAATGGTAGGTATAAGACTAACATTACTTGCTCAATGCTAGCAAAAACTGATTTGCATCATTGTCATGTGATATGTGCTAATGGTCTTTATTCTCCTTTTTAGGATTATGAATGTGGCAGTGCAAAGAATGCAGTCTGCAATTAGCTAGCAGGTATTTGTTATTGAAACTTAACTTTTGAGTTTGTATTGCTCAACTACTCGCCATTGGGCAAAAATTTCTATACAAGATGTCTGTCTGATAGTG